CTTCTTGAGCAAGAGAGACTAATCCGCTGTTCTTATTTACAACTTCTAATGTCTTATTCATTCCCCCTTCTTGTATTCCTTCCCAACCACTCCTAAATCCGTCTTTATTTCCATATCCGATACCTGGACACTACATAGTTATGCATTTTGGTAGCACACAAATTGGTAGTGTCTGAACTCAGTTGCAACTTTAACAACTCTGATGGATTATTTTACCTGCCTTATGTAAATTCCTTTATCATATTCATCTTCCTAAATCACTCTATCCACCCTCTACGACTATCATTTTCAGCAGAGAAACAAATATTTTGCTTCACTAAGAAGGACACGGTCCACCAGTCATGGAAACCCTTACCTTCCAAACTACTGATGTATATATTTACCTGCAGGGATGTCTAGTCTCTTCATCTCCCCTTTTTCTCAGTGAAAGAGGTTGTTATTTACTTATTCACTTATCTCATTTAAATTTTTGTTCACATTCCTTTCTACTTTGAAGTGATTCAGTCCCATTAACCATCACTGTTTCAAACTTATTTTGTAATTCCTTTTCTTCTATTTCTTTTTGGTAATAGACCTTTCTTTTTCTTTCTTTTTTTTTTTTCTTTTTCCTTCTTAGGTAAGAAAAGTTTAAAGATATTTAAAAATTAAGGTATATTTGTAAGAGTACAAATATACCTTAACTTTTAAATTCCCATCCACTTCTTCTTTTTTTTTTTTGAGAAAGAGTCTCACTCTGTTGCCTTGGCTAGAGTGCTGTGGTGTCAGCCTAGCTCACAGCAACCTCAAACTCCTGGGCTCAAGCAATCCTGCTGCCTCAGCCTCCAAAGTAGCTGGGACTACAGGCATGCACCACCATGCATGGCTAATTTTTTCTATATATATATATATATTTTTAGTTTTCCAGCTAATTTCTTTCTATTTTTAGTAGAGACAGGATCTCGCTCTTGCTCAGGCTGGTCTAGAACTGCTGAGCTCTAACAATCCTCCTGCCAAGGCCTCCCACAGTGCTACCATCCACTTCTGAAGCTAGTACAGCTCAGCTTCTGTCACTCCTACAACTGTGGAAATAGATGGAAATGAATCCATCATTAAGTCACTGTAATTCCCTAGAGCAAGAAACACTATTGCCAACTTTCTGCTTCTCCCAATTCATTCTTCCTTCATCATTCTTTTGTATGTTGCTTCCTTTCTCTCTGACCATATTTATTTTGTTACCTTTTACTTTACCTCTGTCTACCTCTGGATTACTGATGCTCTCTGATCCTTTTTTTGCCCTTCTTTTATACTACTCTTTATCCATTCCATATACAATCTTGACCTTTCTAACACTGTTAAATTAAACCTGTGACCTGATGATGTTGCTGACTCTGAAATTCCATGTAAGTTACAGATGAATATTCAGATTTCCCACCATACAAACTATGTTTTCTGGAGTTGTGCTTAGCATATCTGTCACCTAGCAGCTATGTGAACTCAAATATATTATTTAACCAAGGACATGTGTCTGTGCCTCAGTTTCCCTGGGGACAAAATAGGGATTATAATGAAATATATTTGCTTGAAGGTTGTTGTAGGATTAAAAGAAATGATCAAGTAAACATAAAGCAACCGAGACTTATATAGTGCAACCATTCAGTAACTGTTACTTAAGATTATTGTTTATGTCTTTGCACAGATCACAGGCACACATTTCTTATCTCATTTTACCTGGAATATCTCTCCTTCAGTTACTATTACCACAATAATGCTCCATTACAAATGGTTTCCAAAACGTTTTGGCTTAAAATACCAAGCAATTACAATTAATCTCTAACCTGCAGGTTAGTGATCTGAGCTGGACTTTTACAGGCAGTTCTTTGGATATCTGGTAATAGCTGGGCTCACATACCCATTTAGGGAGTCATCTGTCTCTTGAATATTCTAAGATGGCCTTGGCTGTGGTGACTCATCTCTACTCTGAAGGTTTTCATCCCCTATCAGGCTATTGTAGGCAAGAGAGAGCAAGCACAACTGTGGAAGACTGCCAGCAGAAATTCACCTTTCCAGTTGCTAACACTCACTTGACTCACATCTCACTGGCCTAACATCTCATGGAATCTAAGAAAGTTGTCTGTTGAGCCCAGAATCAGAGTGGAAAGGGATTACAGTGAGAGGCATGGAAACACAGTGTCTGTTGTTAACTATGGTTGCAAATACAACCTCCCTAGCAACTTTTATTAATTCTTCCCATGGAATTACTACCAATGCCCCAAGAGCTCACTCAAATATACTTTCATCAACAAAGGTTACTTTATCTTCTTATGGGACTGAAATATTTCACTTCCCTAGTCTCCTTGTTTGCTATCATGCTCATCACAGTGTCTGGGTTTAGCTATGCATATATATCTCCCACTGAATTTTAAAACATCCAAAACCCACAAGTCCTGTTTTATTCATCTCCGTGTCTCATAAATCTCCCAGCGAGATACACAAACTATAACTGGGTCTTTCAAATGTGTCTTCAATTAATTAAATTTCCACAATGTTTTAGCAAAGCTCTTCATGTTTTCAACTAAAACTTTCTAAACTATTCCATACTACTCAAATCCTCCTTTCTTCTCAGCTCATTTATTTACATTACACAAATTAGAGCCTCATTATATGGAATATTGAGTGTGGTTTTGTAAGTCTATGTATAAATCCATATAATTATGTAGATGTACCACCAGTTAGACAATCATCTTCTTGATCTTAGGCCACATTTCTTAAATTCATCTCCTGTAGTTTCTAATGCAGGATGGGATAAACTGAATGAGGATTAAAGATATATGGAGGGTTTTTATTATTATTATTGTAAGATATTGCTTTCTAATTCAATGTTATTTAGAAATTAGAGAAAGCTGCCTAATACAAATAATAAAGCTCCCTAATACAAATAATGTTGTGAAGAAATATACTTTGAATAGAAGAAAATGAGCTGTTATTGCCCTTCTCTTAAGGTTAGGCGGTTTAAAGACTGTCATTTATTTTAAGCTTCCATTCTGAACTCAAAGTGAGCTTCTCCCATTTCCATGAGTACAGTAACAAAGTAAAATTGCTTATATGATAATTATTTACTTGTGGTCTTGAACCATAAATTTGATCAAGCTCATTAAAATCCAGGAAATTTGATTGCTGAATACAGATATCCAAATGTAGATAGTCAACCCAATCACAAATCTGATTGAAATAAATTTAAGACTGGCTTATATTTATGTTGAGGAGAGAAAAGATTGTTTGGAGACTTCTGAACTTTCTGCAAACAAAAGGGACCATTTGTAGACATTTTATCCTGAGGTAGACCGAGAGCTCAGAGGATTCAGGAGCTGTGTATGTTCCTTTAAGAAAATGCCAAAATGAATTACAGTTTCAGCAGACAATCTACAAAACACAAGTCTGGAAAAAAAAAAAATCTCAGGACTAGGATATATAGCAAACTAAACTATCAATGTGTTCTCTCATGAAAGAAACAAAAATAGCATGTATCAGGAGGAAAAGAGAATCCAATTCAAGTGGTTGTTATTTAATTGAAACAAAAATTAAGAGTCCACATCTATCCCATTCTGCTCACATGAAAGAACAAAGAAGAATAAAATAGGGAAGCCATAATGCCCAAATGGGCAACAACAAATTATTTGCGTATATAAAATAGCCAAAGCAGAATCAGAATTTGAATATGTCTTGCAAAATTATTCCTTCTTTCAAGGTGGAGACAAAAGATTGGGTGAAGAAAAAACAATGACAGGGCAATCAGCTTCCTACTTCTGAGTACCTCAAGGATTTTAGCTTTTTATGTCAACCTTTTCTGTTATCAAAATTCATTAGTTCTCTTGGACTCTCCTGAAGAAAGGATTAAGGAATCGTAGTGGGTCCCAGAGATAGAAACTTAGGAAACTGCAGATGTAAATTCAGGAAGCTGATTGACAGTGAAGAAAAGGCAGGGAGAGGTCCCACTTAGAGTGGCCTCTCAGAGCTGTGGCACAGGGCTGAGAGCTCTGCTTTCCTCTCTCACCTGATGTCATCTCCACAAAATCTGGAAGGTGATCATCCACCTTTTACAGATGACAATGAGGGGCTTAGAGTGACATGATAAAACACAGAAGGTCAGGTGGCAGAGCTGTGTGTAAAACTCTAATTTATCTGAATTCAGAACTCAGGCTTTTTTTCCACCCTCCTCATGACTGAACCTTGTGTCTGAGAGCCTTATGGCCCCCAGGGCTGTAGACTCTTCCCTCAGATCAGCTTTGCTGAGATCTGTGTTAAATGATCGGAGTCCAAGGAACAAACTTCTTAGAATAAAAGGGTAACTTAGCTCAGTGATAGACCTCATTTCTAGGTATGCACTTACAGGACTCATGAAATACCACAAAACAATCTCCCTACCTCCAAAATATTACATCATATGTTTCTCTGAAATTGCAATATTATAAACTTATTAGTGGGCAAAAACTCATAGCTGTTCTGTAAGAAACTCTAATATTTCTTATGAGATGCTGCTTTGAATACATTTCAGTTATCTTTCATTTTCTTTAGCATTCTTTTCAACTTGAAAGGCACCTAAAATAAATGGAACATGGAATAGGTACAAAATTTTAGATAGACTTATTTTAAGTAAAAAAGAAAAAGTATTATAAGCTCAGTGAAAAATAATTAAAGAAAAAAATGTATATGTGTTTTTCCTCCTCATCACCTCCCACATTCCCATTCTGCCTAAGAAATCACTGTTAAAATTATATTTATATTCTTCCAAATTTATTCTATTGACACCTATCAACATGGATATATGTACATCAATGTATCAATGCTTTTGTTATATATGTATTTGTGTGTGTGTAGTTCTGTTAGTGTGTGTATTTCTGTGTGTGAGAAAGAGATATTGAGCAATTTTAAGCAAGAGAGAGAACAAGTACCCATGTGCAGCATAAGACACAAAATGCTATTTAGGAAAAAATTTGGAATGTATAATTGTAGTATGTAAACTGACCTCATTCTGAGAAAATACTTGATGAGCCTTGATGGGACCATTTGGTTGAGAAAGTTCTGGTCTTATAGATTTAGCCTGTGAAGCACAAGGCAAGGAGAGAACTAGATTATCTTGCCACAGAATGTCACTGGAAGTCTTGGATTGAAGAGTGGAAGGTGGGCAGAGAAGAGTTTTCAGGAAAAAGGAAAAGATCCCAAAGTTGAAGGTCGAATGGTGCTTATGACCAAGAAACCTTTCCTGAAATTTGGACAATGGCATATATTCCATTTTAGCTCAGTTTTCACTACCACTGAGTCTAGTTGTAGTTTTTCTCTATAATTTCAAAATACCAGTGACAAAAATGAAGAAATTTAACAGTGCCCATCCTGTGGTCAAGATATACACATATATGAGTCATTGAAGGTGACAAATTTCTGGAAACAGGGCATCAGAACAAGAGGCAACTTAGCATAATAGGTGAATTACCATTTCAAAAACCTTCATTCACACTCCTCTTCTCCCTGCCCTCCTCACTGACATTGGGTTTAGCCAAAGAGTGTGTATTTCTGAAACAGAAAAGGAAAACACAATACACCAAAATAGCAGAGCCAAACTTGATGACTCTAACTCTACTGATCAAGGAAAAAGAGAGAAGGTACAAATTATAAAATATCAGGATTGAAAAGGGGGAAATCACAATAAAATTCACACCTAACAGGTACAGTATACACTATCTAGGGGATGGGCACACTTACAACTTTGACTCAAATAGCACAAAAGCAATTTATGTAACCAAAACATTTGTTCCACAGTAATATGCTAAAATAATAAAAATTTTTAATAATCTTTAAAAATATATAGGTAGTGCTCTGCAAACCCCAGTCACTAGATCTTACAAAGCCTGAAAGATTAAAATAATAATAAAAATGACATAAAAATAAATAAATGAAAACTGTAGCATAGTCTCCTAAACATATTTAAAGTTATTTTTCTGTATAATTGTGCATGACAACTGCAATTAGTTTTACTGTTATTGCAAAATTTGTATCAGGATTTTTCCTTTGGGCATAGTCATGATGCATTTTACATAATATATCAAAATATTTTATAAATTCTTTCAGACAGCAACTGTAAGCATTTTTCCAAATAAAAGTGGGACTTGGGAGTTAAAAAAACTTATAATAAGAGGATATTAAGAAAAAAATGATACTTAAATAAGTTTTACAACTTGGATGAAAAAAAAAATTCTTGCAAAACCTAGTGTGCCAGACCTAAGAGGAGAAGAAAGAACACTTGAATAAATGTATATTTATTAAAAGGAATGACTTCCACTTACAGCCAGAGAGTAGCAGAGACTGAACTTACCTTCTCACTCTACAACAGGTAGAAAAATGTACAAAAGTATTTGAAACAAGTCTATTTCAGACTTAGTGCAGCTGGGGCAGGACAGTGATTCTGAGGGAAGGAAAGCAAGAAAGGTAAGCACAGCCACAGACCCTGGTTTTCTGTTTAAAGATATATTCACAAGCCAGGTACAGAGGGAGGAAATCCTGAGATTCCCAGGCAGAAAATTGAGATTTCATGATAAGTCTTGTAACTCTACAGATAGATCTTTCAGCCAGTTTCCATAACTGTTGCCATAGCAGTTGCTTTGCTTCTCTCTTCCATTAAAAAAGTCTCTTCATTCATTCTTAGAAACTTGACTCTCAAGACCCAGGTAAATCTAATTACTTAAATTAGCATTTAATCCACAAGAATCTTTTTGCTTTCACCCTCACCTGATCCTTCTGCTTAAAGAAAATACAAATATTTCTTATAATGTTCCCCATCCCTGACACCAGCTCTCCAGTTACTCTAGATAGTTATAAAAGACTATCCAGTTTTCTTTTTCATATTAAACATTTCATTTATTTTTATTATTTTAATGAAAGTCATATACTCACATAACTTGCAGGATGAATGAAGATGAAATAAGTAGCATATGGGAATGAGCAGAAATTAAACAGCACATTGTGAAGTGCTTTGAGCTATTAGTTTTGAACTATGAGTGCAAATTATTATTATTGCTGGACCATATTCTGCCAAATGTTTTAACTGTAATATGTTTATTAACAACAGGTTTTAGTACATCGCCACTAAATGTGTAGCAACTAAACACTATGGGATATTCATTATGAAAGCCAAAGCTCGTTATGGTATTATCACTGACCTTTGTTTTGAAAATGTGCATTTGAAAAATATTTTCCCAGATTTATAGCCTTGAATTACATCTTTAATAAATACAAAATTTAATTTTATTCTAATGATAATGGAAACAAAGGCTGAAGGCCTTCCATTCCCCTTCAAGATTATGAATATTTTTTTTCTGCTCACACCAACTTTCTGCCACTGTGTGTGTGTGTGCGTGGTGTGTGTGTGTGTGTGTGTGTGTGTGTGTGTGTGTGTGTGTGTGTGTGTTACCCGGATCACCAGGGCCAGACACCTAAGGAGACTTATCTAGTTTTAAGGAGGTAGGAATATCTCAAAGCAGGTGTTAAGGGGAGAGTTTCAGATAGGGAAGAACCAGGAGCCACATGAAGCGCAGAAAAACCAAAGCGGAAGATAACTTTGTAAAGGCTTTGGCAGCTCACAACACAGTGGGGAAGAGAGATCTATAGGCAAATGACCTTTCGACTGTTAACCATTATATAATATTGGCATGAACTCTGACAGCACAGAAAAGCTAGTGACTACTCATGAAAGGCTTCACCTAGAGGTTGGCATGGAGCTAGATCTTGAAGGATATACTAAGAAGAAGAGAGCCAGAAAAAGAACAGAATGTGGAAAATACTCAGGAAATTGCAAGGATTTTTGTACACCTGAGAAAATAATATTTTCAGGAAACTAGAAGTTAGAAAGCCTTGAATGTCCATTTTACGTCATCTGGATTTTATCTTGGGGAACTGAGAATGTGTATTTACATAGGATCAAAATAATCCCAATTAATTTTTTAGAAAGAGAATAGGGAAAGAACAGTGGGGAGAAAATGGATAATTTCCATGCTTCCAAGAAACCCTGTTTTCTTAATGAAGATAGCATCGTGGTAATTGAGGCCACAGAGGATTCAGTGGCAATAATGCTGGTCAACCAAGCAAAAGGAATCCATGATTGTGAATGTATTGGGGCCAATTTTATCAACTCACCAACAACAAATCCTATACAATACCTGGTGACCTGTATAAATAATTATTCTACTGGAATAGAAGAAACCTGCAATGGAAGTAAGCAAAATTATGAATCTACTGTCTAGTCAGTGTTTTAGATAGACCATTTAACTTTCTTTCAATTTCCCAGCCTTATCGTTCCTTCTCTATTTCTACATTTCTGTAATGTGTTCTAGCCATCAACCATGAATTCAGGGAACATCTTTTTTTTATCTTTATGTGTTAATTTACTCTTCGAGTGTAGAAACATAGAATCCAAATAACTTCACTTTTAAACTAATTGCATGCCATAAATCATTTAAATTGATTGCTGTGAATTGATCAGATTGTGAATTGATCATTGTGAATTAATCAGAAAGCCAGCTTTGTGACACTGTGTTAACATGGAGCTACTCTTCAAAGGTGTTAAAAATTTAAATCCCTCACAGTGTAAAATTTCCTCTAACATTAGCAATTGTTAAATGAATACATTACTAAAAAGAAAGATAATGGCTCATTAAAGAGGACATGTTAGTGGAGGGTGAAATTGCAGGCAGGGATATTGACTAGGAGACTATGGAAGTAAAACTGACACCATGATCACATTTCTAAATTCTGCTTCTGTAGTGATTAATATTTGCAAAAGTAGAAACACCAATAAATTCATCGAGCTATATTTAATCTTCTTCTGACACATCTTAATGGGTGCCAGTTTTAACAAAATATTATTTCACAAAAGTTATCAGTGAACATTAATAAGCAGTCCTATGTCTGTGCCATGGATTTATATCATGTTCTGACATCTGGAACCAGAACTTAGATATTAATCAAAGTAACAGAGAAAAACATTCCTATTAATACTTCATTAAAATGCAATTTTAAATAGAAAAGGCCCATCCAGTAAGTTTTTGTTGTCAGATGATAGTTTTAAAATTCAGCCACTGCAGCTGGCTTTGGGAGCTGTTTGGGGTGAGATTTGAAGTTACTAAGAGAATAAAAGCCTTTTGGGCTATTGTAGGTTAATACTGATTAACACCCAACAAGAATATCCATTTTCATTTTTCTTCATAAAATAGGGATATGTATGAAATCTTCTTTATCATAGCTTCCAAAGATGTTTTAAAGAAAGTTTTTGCCGGATAGAATATACAATATCTCACAGATTTTAACAAAAGCAATTAGGGACATAAAGAGATTGACTAATGGGAGAATAGTATTAGAAACTAAATGTAATGGGCAGGAACTTATTTATTTATTATTCTGCACAAAATTTCTTGAGGCATGGTCTTGCTAGGTTGCGCAGGCTGGTCTGGAACTCCTAGACTAAAGAGATCCTCATGCCTTAGGCTCCCAAGTAGCTGGGATTACAGTCTGAAGTTCAAACAAATAGAGACCAAGATAATTAGTCTCCCAGCTCTGACAACAGCAAATGAGAAATGGGACATAATATGAAATTGGAGTATGCAAGTGGAGAATAAGAACAAGAGCCGTAAAAGGAGAAAAAAGGAATTTTGGCCAGTGACACATTAACATAATCTACAAATTCTTATCCTTGACTAAGGGTTTTAAGTATTCTAACAGAGGAGAATTTCTAATTTATACTAGATTTATGCAATAGTCATAGTTTAATATATTCATGATTTCTTTAATATTTATGTTATGCCTGGGCCAACAGAATTTGTTGCATTTTTCTATATCATGCTCTTGTTTATCTATTTGTTGCTGTGTTTTCCCCAAATAGTAGTATGTAAACCCTTTAAGAACTGTGCCAGTTTATCATCTCTGAATCCTTAATACCCAAAAGAATGTTTAGCAATAATAAGCACTCAATGAATATTTATGAGTGACTACATGAGTATATGTATTAAATTTGGGACAACATATAACCTTGGCATTCTGTTTTCATTTTGAGCATCAAATACAGAATATGTATCTGCAATGCACTGGTAGGCACTTTTAAAATATTCTACACATCCTCATAACAGCTCACTCCAGAGATAAATAAATTGAGATTGACAGGTTAAGCAGCATGTCTGAAAAACATAAAGTACAAATTGGTATTAATGGATCAACACCTAAGTGGAGATATAGTAATAACATTTATTGGGTGTTGGGCAGGGGGAGGAGAGGATGGGTATATACAAACACAATGAGTGAGATGTGCAACATTTGGGGGATGGTCATTCTTGAAGCTCTGACTCGAGGGGGGAGAGGAGGCATGGACAATATATGTAACCTTAACATTTATACCCCCTTAATATGCTGAAATTAAAAGAAAGTAAAAAAAAATAATAAAATAAAAAAACATAAAGTACATCAAACAGATTTGTTTAAGGTCAAATCTGTATACATATGATGTACATTTAATTCTCCTTTAATATATCTATTTTTTAATTTTAAACGAATTTCTCAACTAAGCAGACCATTTCTTGTTTGGTGAAATAGAGTTTCTTGACCTGGGGTTAACAAACCAAATGAATGTTTTTTATCTTTGCATCTCAGTTGGATGGATCAAGCAAAGAAGCCCCTTTGGAAATGATGCCTGGGGGAGGGGTTGGAGGGCAGTAATTCTAGGCCCAGATCCTTTGGACATTGATCTGCTTAGAATTGTTTCGTTACTATTATAAACCCTCAGTGGTAACAAGGACTCTGTAATTTTCACTGAGACTCTGGATTGGGACTTGAAAATCTGTCCATATTTGTACCAGGATTGACAGTTGCAGCCTGGGAGGTGGCCTTTCCCACATCAGCCCTCTAGCAAAATTTTCCTTATTATTAAATTGGGATTATTTATGCATATCTCTGTTTCTCCCCAATAAAATACCATATGAGAATATATCCTGCATCATTCTTCCACCCCAGTGTCTCTAACATCATACCATAGCTTACATACAGTAGATACTTAGTAAAGGACTGCTATTTTTAGAGCTATGTCTTGTATAAGCTTCTTTCTCTTTCTAGTCTTGGACGGATTCAGAATCAGTTCACCTATAATTATTAGTAGGAACCTTACTGACTCACACCAGGATGCATTGGTCGGGTCACAAGAGTTGGCAGAACGGTGCAAAGTAAATGGTCTCAGGGTTTTACGGAGCCATGCATTGCTGCCTTATATTTGCCACTCCATTTCAGCATTTTCAGCTGTAACTTTCCTCTCATGCAGTTACCAGATTTTCTGTAAATTGACAGAAATTATTGCAAGCCAAGAAAAGATGAAATCAGAATAATTAGATGGACTTATTCAACCATAAATATGTACAATGATATCACCATAATCATGATATTATCTAATATTATTGCCCTTATTTTCAACCATTTGCTTTTTTATTTTTAGTCTGTTCCGAATTACCATGTTGAGTGACATTCTGCCATTTCATCTTTTCTAGTTTAAAA